AAAAAAAAAAAAAAAAAAGAAGATTGTGTCTCCAGATGACAAATACATACAGGTACAAAAGATGTTTACATAGCTTTCTTGATACAAGATCTCATTTAGATAACTGTTTAAAAATTAATTTTCTTCATTTTTTATTCCAAGTTCTCTTTTTACATATGAAGAAGGAAGTAGTAACTATTAATGTGTTTGCTCCATTAGCAGAAAAAGGACCTAAACAATGCCAGTTTTCAAATAGAAAATTGATTAATTTCATTACTAGGTTGATTTTTTTCACTCAAAGCTTTTGTATGTTTGTTCCATTTTGCCATAAATGGAATCAAAATAAAGCATTTGGAAGTTTATTCTGTCAAAAATGCTGTAAATGCTGTTGATTTTGCATTTTCTAAATTTGGTGAAATATGTTAAAAAGTATAAAGAGAATTACTTAAAAAGTTGTGTTCTTTTTCTAAGTTTAGAGAGAGAAAGCTTGATTGGGGATAGGAGCAGAAGGGAAGAAAGAATCTTTTATTTTTAATGTTTGTTTATTTATTTGGGGGGAGGGTGTTTGTGAACAGGAGAGGGGCAGAGAGAGGGAGAGAGAGAATCCTAAGCAGGCTCCATGCTGTCTGCACAGAACCTAACATGGGGCTCGATCATAAGACCATGGGATCTTGACCCTGAGGCAAAATCAAGAATTGGACGCTCAATCAACTGAGCCACCCAGGCACCCTGAGAATTATTTAAAAGTTTTGTCTCATAAAAATAATTATCAAAAAAAAGTTTCATTGAATGGAGGGGTAAAAGTTACATATCAGCGCTTAACATATTTACAGATTTCAACATGAAAAAGAAAGCATGGTGAGACTATCCTTCTTTCAACAGGATTTTCTTTAATCTTACCAGATTGTGTAATGTAAAGAGGGTGTTTTCTTCATTACAAATATTATGGTCTATAGAGAAGAGTACGTTGAAAATGTCAACAGTTTTGTAATTATTGATCATAAAATTCAATTTTGAAAAAGATTTATTAGACAATCTTACTTTTTTTAAAAAGCTCAAAATAAAGCCATATAAAAATATGTTCTTCAGAGAAATGTCAATGACTTATTATTAGAGGTAGATACACCTTAGAAACTGATTAAAGTGTATGAACATATAGTGAATAATTACTTATGTTTTTGATGCATCATTATATATAGATAGGTTTTTATCTTTTAGAAAATTTTAGTTTTGAAAAAAAGAATTTTAGTTTTGAAAATGGATTTTTTAAAGTATTTTTTAATGTTTATGTTTGAGAGGGAGGAAGAGAGAGAGAGAATGGGGGGCAGAGTGTAAGTTGGGGAGGGGCAGAGAGAGAGGGAGACACAGAATCTGAAGCAGGCTCCAGGCTCTGAGCTCTCAGCACAGATCACAATGCAGGGCTCAAACTCATGAGCTGTGAGATCATGACCTGAGCCCACGTGGAATGCCTAACCGACTGAGCCGCCCAGATGCCCCAAAAATGGATTTTTAATAGAACTATTTTATAAGGCCACCAGTGTAATAAAACAAGTTTTGTAGTCAATAAATGGATACTTTAAAAATTACAAAATTTTAATTCCTAAAAATTCCCTTTCATTAGTGTCTATTAATATATTGAGGTAGTTTAATTTTCTAAAAATTAATTTTGGGGATCAGAAATGTATCACTCCAATAGCTCACAAAAATTAATCACTAGATTGCACATCTGAAACTAATATAACACTGTGTTAACTATGCTGAAATTAAAATTTTGAAAATCATTGCAATGAACACATTAATTTTTTTCTTTATTTTAGTTGCATATTCTAAATCTCACCACTCAGAAGGACTTGAGAGTTAACCTAGTTGTAAATTCTCACTGTGCATTTGAGATAACTAAGGGTTAGTATATTTGCCAGGCTATCTCAGAAAGTTAATAACACAGTCCAGGATACCATACTTTTTTTGAGCTGTATTCCTCATTTGGTGAATATTTTGCTAATTTTCTTTAAAAATGAATTTTTCTCATTTGCAGTTGAACCACCATGGTCTACTAATTAGTGAATAGCAATTATTGGTAACCAAATTCCTAATAACTCTATTAACATTTTTCACTTGTATTTTTTATAGTTCTACTTTTTTGAAACGAGGTTAATGCTCTTTAAATACATTGTTACTGCAAGAAGGTTGCTTTCTATTCAAATCAATTATCTTAACCAATTATTATTGTAAAAGAGTTTACCACACCATTTCTATACTTTGACTTTTTGTTCTTGAATTGTCTTTAGCTGTGCCTGACTTGATTGATTTCATTTTTTATCCTTTATTAATGTCTATAAAATGTTCTAATGTCGATGTTTATTTTTTCCATATATTATGAATCCTGTTTAATTTATAGTTACAATTGTATTTGTGTAACCTAAATTAAAACTATGCTTTTTCAATAAAGTAACTGGAGTTTAAAATTCAAACCTATTTTGATAACATTTCAAATTTGGTTTAATTACTATTAAAATTATCTCAATACATGTTAATGTAGTACATTCAAAAATTGACTTAGGAAATCTTATTACAGTGTAAAAGCTACTGTAATAAGTTGCTGCCTTACATAAATAAATAAATGACCAATATTACTAGAGGCTATAAGCAGCATGGGAAAGAAATGGAAGGAGTCTTTTATCCTAGTTTTTAGAGGGCATCAGCAGCTTGCTTTTATGAAAAAGTAACAGCTAAATGCACTGCAAATAATTTGCAGTAATCCAGTTCAGTGATTCATGTGTCTGCTTTAATGGGTCATAATTCAGGGTAAAGTAACTGAGTGCAGTCAGAGTGCAGACACTGCTTATGCCAGGGACAGTATCTCTTCATAAAACACACCTCAGGAGAAGCAGTTTGCCAGCCCCCTAATACTCTCTGATGTTTTGATGTCCTGCATATTTTTCCGATTAAGTTTTGAGTGCCATGTTTTTAGTTGTATTTCCACATTCATTATTCTCACGTAGACCCTTCAGCGGGTTTGCCATATATGATTATTTTTTTAATGATGCCTTTCTTTCCACTTCAGCAGTTTAATAATCTAGCACATGGCTGCTTCTCAGTACTCAGCATTCACCTCCCCAATACTGAAGAGGACATGTGCTTTGGCTTCAAAATTCCATTTGCAGCGTTAGAAATGCATATTCCCTACGGAACAACATTTGTTTGACATAACCATTCATTTTTATTACCTCTTTAAATATGTTTATCCAGAGTTATCAATAATCATAAATAACTGTATTCTCATCTTGTTCTGTTTTTTTTCCAACAGACAAAATTGCTTACCCAGTACATATTAAATCTCGGCAAGTATGATCAAAACTACGACATCAGAGACCGTACAAGATTTATTAGGCAGCTTATTGTTCCGAATGAGAAGAGTGGAGCTTTAAGTAAATATGCCAAAAAAATATTCCTAGCACAAAAACCTGCACCACTGCTTGAATCTCCTTTTAAAGGTATTATTATCAGAATATAATGGCAAAATACACGTTACCTAAAAAATTATGACAATATGTCCCATTTCTAATACATTTAAAATTTAGCTCTTAGAAAATATAAGTGATTAATATACATAAATATATAAGAACACTATGCTTTCTACTCATCTGTTCTCCAGAGCAACCTTCATATTAACGTTTTTTTATAGACCTTATTTACCTAAGTAATTTCAGTCTTCTGAGTTCATTTTTATTCTTACTAAGCAGTTCAGCTGAACAATAGATTAAAGCTGTGTTCTTCTTATTGACATTGACTTCATTCCTATTTTAAATAGCCTTATTTAATAAGGAATATAATATACCTTAATATTGAGTTTTTACTAATTAAATACTCTACACTAACATAACTTTTCTAGGAAGAATTATTTCTTAAAAATATCCCTTTATATTTAAATTTGTTTTTCAAGATGGAAGTTGACTTATTTTTTTCCAGCTTTTTAAAAAGGAGTAATTTTATCAATTTAACAAGTAGCCATTAGACTTAGAATCAAATGATTGTATACCTTGGTTTTCATATTGTTTCTTATTTAATTGTCGGTGATAAAAAGCAGTTCAGTATTGTAGAAAAACTATTAAAATTCTGAATGTGTTTGTGCTAAGACATGTATATGGATTGTTTAACTGTGCTGTCATTCTTAATATTCACAGTAAAGTAATTTTTAGAGAAGCTACATTTCAGAGCAACACCTCTAAACACACTGACTGATTAGTTTTTTTATTGACCATTATGGGGGAGATTATTGTAATCTATGGACTGAAATCAGTTTTTTGACCTATGAAGAGCTTCCTAGTTTATATTTATTCCTTGACATTTGAGGTAATATGCCAATTACCTTGAGCTCTGATTGGGATTGTTCTCTGTTATATACAGCTCATATTGTTTATTTTATATTTTCCTCTATTTTAATAGATAGGGATCATTTCCAGCTTGGCACTTTATCTCATACTCTCAACACTAAAGCTACCGGGTACCTGGAATTATCTAATTGGCCAGAGGTGGCGCCGGACCCATCAGTTCGAAATGTAGAAGTAATAGAGTTGGTAAGTTGACCTTTCTGAAATTAATTTTGTCAAGCAGTGGGAGATTCTAGAATAACTATTGTTTTATATAAAAGCTTTTTTAAGGGGTTGAAAATTGAAAATTGTTCTGGTATTTCTAAATGTAATGTATTAGATATATCTCGCTGTTTTGGGAACTGAATATTGTAGTATTCCTATGTCATTGTACATGTACTGTTCCTTTTCTTCAAGGAAATAGAGAATTGAATTCTCTGCATCAGTGCCACCCACATTTTTGGTATTGCATTTGTAGCTGTGTAGATTCAATTTCTAAGGTATTTAGTGTCATTGGATTGAGCTTTTTCTACTTTGTTTAGAGATTCATAAGCTTCCTGTCAATATTTTTCTAAATAATTTTTGCTGTTCTCTCCCAGAAAAACCATGCAAAGTGTTCTTCTGGATTTTCTGGTGAACCTGTTTTAAGTGCAGCCTAAATATAAACAGGTGGCATTGTGTACAAACGATGTCCTTAGATAAGGTCATAACTAATAAGAATATTACGTTGCTTTCACATTAAAAAAAAAAAAGCTCACACATAAATACTCTTTCCCTAGATCTTTAAAAAATTCTGGCTACTAAAATGAAAGAGTTAATGTTCTTTCTAATGTTATCCTTTTCTTACATCAACAAGAAAAATAAGGAGGTCTTCTGATGTCTTTAGAAATTGATCATGTGAAATATATCCAATAGTTTTTTAAGTAGGATTAATAAAAAAGAACAATTAGGTATTACATTCTGGATGCTTTTCTGATAGGAAAGATGTATTAAACTAAGATTCAGATAACCAGAGTTCTTTACCACTGATTCCTATGAGAAAGTACATTAACCTTCCTGCCTATTAAATTTTCCACTTATGATGGGTGGAAATATTTGTTACTTTATTTTTTTTAAGTTTATTTATTTATTTTGAGAGAGACAGAGAGCATACAGGCAGGGGAAGAGCAAAGAGAGAGGGAGAGAGAGAATCCCAAGCAGGCTCCACACTTTCAGTGCAGAACCCAAATTGGGGCTCAGTGTCACAACTGTGAGATCGTGAGCTGAGCCAAAATCAAGAGTTGGACACTTAAACCACTGAGCCACCCAGGTGCCCCTTTATTACTTTAAATAGAAGAATTTCTGTAATAGGTATAGCCGTGTAATTTGGTCCTTTTGAAAAATACATTTCTCTTAACTACTCAAACTTATCCTGGCTTTGAAGCACGGCCAGAAGTGATAATAACTAATAATGACTCAATTTAGCAAACCCTGGCACTTTGATAATGTTTTACACACATTATCTTGTTTAAACCTCATAATGATTGTAAATGATGGTTATCGTTGTTCCTATTTTACAGTTGAGGAAACTAGGGTGCAGAGAACCTAAGTAAATTGCCCAAGCTTATATAGCTAGTAAGTGATGGAACTGGGATTCCAACACAGATCAGAGTCCACCGTTCATGTTGTTACTGCCTCCATTTTATTATGTAATGTGAAGAGAGAAAGCTTGAGCTTGTTTGCAAATCTGTGCTATTCTTAGTACTAGTACTTGGCACTGTCATTTTTATGTTGTGACAAATGATCTCTGTTTAGAGGTGATTTTAAAAAATGTAAAACTTACTAAAACTAATTGTGTGTCCATTCCTCCTTGAAATTGTTTGTTGATTTTCACTCAGATCTGTATGCTCTTAAATACTCTTCAAAGATTGGCTTATTTGTGCAACTTTGTGTCAGATGTTAGTATACAAAGACATGTTCTTTGTTATGATTATTTCCATAGATTTAATCTCTGCTAATTTTGTATTATGGCTGCTCATTGTTTTTATGGTTCTGTCCTTTTCCATTATTGGGTACATAATGTTTTGGCACATGTACAACCATCCTTTTATCCTCCTCTGCATTTCCATCCTGTCCTTCCTCCTTGCTACCCCACTCCACCAAAAAAAATTAAAATAAAAATAGTTTATCTTCCCAGAAATTGATAGCAATGCTACACAGTTTAATTTGGTTTCAGTGCTATCCTTATGTTGGCTGATGGATTGGTTGTTTGGCTGGCTTTTTCCATTGTCTTGTGCTCTTCTAAGTTTTAACTACCTTATGGGGACGGTACTTAACCTGTCTTCTCATGTTCATTTCATCTGCCCAGTTCAACAGAGACAAGTTGATTTCTTTTCCTTTTTGCTGATTGCATCCTAGAAAGTAATAACTGATAACTTATTGTGGAGAATAATTAAAAGTGATGGAACCTAGTTGAAGAAAACTGTCACTATCCATTGATACCATGCAGAAAACTTTTAATCTACTGGTCTCTGGACATGTTGGCTCAAAATTATACTGTGAGAGATACAATTAAGTATAAAATTAATATACCTAGTTTTATTATCCAGTGCAGCTGCAACAGTGCAGAAAGTAGTGTTCCTTATAGTCTTTCTTACCTCTCACTCTACCACCCCTCCTCCAAAGTCACATCAATGCATTTCATACACATAATACACTGTGTTATCCTAGTTTTACAATACCGTGATCTTATAGGATCACATTTCATTATTATGAAATATAACCTTGGTTAAGAAAAATGCCTAGGTTTAGGTAATCTGATAGGGAAACTATTTATATTGACACCAGAAATGACTTAGAATTGCACCCTACCTTTTCCAGGATATTGGATATAACGTATATTTATATTATGATACCAATGGGGCGCCTGGGTGGCGCAGTCGGTTAAGCGTCCGACTTCAGCCAGGTCACGATCTCGCGGTCCGTGAGTTCGAGCCCCGCGTCGGGCTCTGGGCTGAATGCTCAGAGCCTGGAGCCTGTTTCCGATTCTGTGTCTCCCTCTCTCTCTGCCCTTTCCCCGTTCATGCTATGTCTCTCTCTGTCCCAAAAAATAAATAAAAAACGTTGAAAAAAAAATTAAAAAAAATATATATATATTATGATACCAATAAGTTTTGAAGATCCTTTCAAATTTTTTTGCTCATTTCTAGAAAATCTCACCCCCTTAGGGACAGACCATCTTTTTCATATCAAAGGTATTTTACTTTGTAAACACATCTACTTTTGATATTTTATCCCTCCTAGGATTTTTCTAATTAGTCCTTCATTATTCTCTTCCTCTTCTCTTTCTCCATTATTTCTGTTGCTTAGAATGATTTAATTATCATGGTCATAAAAGACTATAAAAAAGTTAACATATTTTTATTGTTTAAAACCTAAAACTCCATGAATAAAGAGTTCATGGCCATGTCAAGATAATTTGCCTTTTTGAGCATAGAACCCTAATTTTCCTTATTTGTTAATTTGGTCTTACCCTGAAAGCCATCTAGATTAAATATTTTTTTTTCCCCAGAAATTGATCTGGCCATTTTTTACCAGGCTTCAGAAAAAATACGTTTGTTTTAAGGATTTAAGAAAAAATATGAACTGAATTGTTTATTAAATATAGAACTTTGTTTATAGAACAGCATCTTTATTCATATTTGGAAGACAGCATTTTAAATATATATGAAAAGAAAGCAGTACTGCTGACCTTATGTATCATATTCAAATATATTCAAGTAATTTTTACTCATTTTTCTATTATTGTCCATATAGTAATTTTCCAGGTTATTGAAGCTTATCTTTTTGAGCAACATGCCTTAAGCCCTAAAGTCCTCTAGATCAGTGGTTTACAACCCTGGCTGCATATTATAATCATGTGGAAATCTTTAAAAACAAACCTATGTGAGACTTGCTGCAGACCATTTAAATCAGAATCTTAGGAGGTAAACCCCAGGCATTAGCTTTTTCAGAATTAGTATATTTTTTGTGTGTGTTAGTATTTTACAAAATATTCCAGTTGACTCTTACATGCATCTAGTGTTGAGAACCATTCTTAAACCTCTGTCATGCTATAAATTCCTTTACAACAAAATATACACTCTAGCCAGCTGGCATATAATAGGAACTCAATTGAAATTTTGATAAGAGCCTGGGTGGCTCAGTTGGTTAAACATCCGACTTCAACTCAGGTCATGATCTCATGATTTGTAGGTTTGAGCCCCATGTCAGGCTCTGTGTTGACAACTCAGAGCCTGGAGCCTGCTTTGGATTCTGTGACTCCTCTTTCCCTGCCCCTCCCCCATTGGCACTCCATCTCTCTCAAAAATAAATAAACCTTAAAAAAATTAAAAAGGAAAAAAAATTTTTGATAAATAAATGAGTTGTAACCATTTTTGACTTCTTAAAAAATAGAGATTTGTCTGCCCTATAACAGAATATATGAAAAAGGATTTAATTTTTTCTTGATAAATCAGTCACAATTATGAAAATAATTTATTTTACTTAATTCAGTGCATTAAAGTCTTTGAGGAGCTATTCACACAACTAATCATTATTGTGCCAGACACTTTTGAGATCTGTCAGTGTACAAAGTATTCAAATACCCCTGCTCTCCAGAAGCTGATGTTCTAGCAGTGACAGACTGACAATAAAAATAAATATGTAAATTGTATTTATAGTATGTTGGAAACTGATAAGTGCTGTGACTAAAATAAAATAAAATAAAATAAAATAAAATAAAATAAAATAAAATA